TGCCTATTCATTTAAATTTATTATTTTTTGTTCCAATAATCAATTCTTACGTCCTTGTGATGTCTGATTTCATATTGATATTTTCAATGTAATTTTTTTTCTTGCCATAGAACACGTACACTTGCTGGAGAGTGACAGAGAGAAGGAAAGTGAGAAATGGTTTCCTGAGGGGATGGCGATATTTCAATCTCTTCTCTTTCATCTCCCCTTGAAATTTTGGGCATGCACACACATGCACTTGGCATGATTTTCAAGCTGCCAGACCAAGGACTTGAACTGTTGTTAGCCATGTCAAAGTCCAGCACCTTAACCACTGTACCACCACACCACCTCCTGGCCCCTCAAGGTAACTTTGAAAATAAAATTATCTAAGGGAGATAATTTAATATTCTTATCTTTGTTTTAAGAAATACAGTTTTTAAGAGAAAACAGCTGTTTCATTGTTACATTGCTGGTTAGCGGTGACTTAAACCAACCTTTTTGACTCCTTGACACCTATCTTACTTCTTCAATTGCCCTAGAGTAACTGGTGTCTCTTCTTGCTTGTTCTTTGGACCCTTCTTTATAAATGCCCACTTCTGCTCACATCTTTTATTTGTTCTTGCTCAATCTCTTGACTTTTGGCCCTTAGTTCCCTTTGAACAGCTGCATGCCATGACCTTTAAGGACAAATAGCGATATCACTTTAGAGCCTCAGGGAGTTTGGACTTCTGCCAGGCTCCGAATCCAGAGGATAGTTTTCATTTCTCCTGACCCCCATCCATTTCTGTAGGATTTCATTTCTCCTAACAGAGAGAAGAGCTGGGTAAGTGACCAGTACTGCACATTGAATATACGTGTGCCCATTGTCTTGTTACAGAGATGGGTGTATAAGGTCCCCATCTGAGTACACAGTGACGCTGCCTGTGTAATCTCACATACCATCACAAGGTATGCCCTCTTATTCTTCCTGATTCTTTCTGAGGGCGTTACTTTCTTCCACTCGAATATTCAAACATAAGAAATTCTTAGAACCTTTGTGATTGAAGATAACTTTTTGAAGGTTTTTGCCACAGGGTACATGTACTCACCAGAGAGAGATGGCAAGAGACAGAGAGAGGAAAAGGGGGAAATCACCCCCGAGGAAGATGGCTATGCTGCAACCCCTTCTCCTCCATGTCTTAGGATTTGGGAAAATGCTTGCACATGCCCAATGTGACTTTCAGGCCCCAGGGTCCAGCACTGAAACTGTAGTCGACCATTTAGGAGTTCAGAGTCTTAACCACCATGCCACCTGTTGGTCCAATACACCATGTATATGTGCGTGTGTATATACATAAACATACACACACACATGTGTGTGCATATTTTAGAGAAAGAGAGTTTTGCTCTAGGCCACATGTGCTTGCCAGAGAGACAGAGAGACTGAAAGCAGGAAATCACCTCCCAGGGGGGATGGCCACACCATAATCTCTACTCCTTCATTCTCCTCTTGGGATTTTTTGGGCATGCATGCACAGGCACCTGTCATGAATTTTTAAGTCTCTGGGTCCAGGACTCGAACTGCAGTGTACTACCATTATGCCATCTGCTGGCCTCAATATGCCATATTTCTATGAATAGCAGCCATCCATCTTCAGTATGGTTTTCCTGTGCACATAGCGTGTAGTTGGACAAACAAAACTTACCACACATGTAAATAACGAAACAGAAATTACAAAGATCATATGACTGTTGGATTGTATCTGTGTCCATTTCATGGTTGTGACACTGATAGTTATGCAAGATATTACCACTGCATAAACTGGAGGATGGGTGTATTAGACCCCTGTGTTAGTTCCTAAAACTACAGTTGAGTCTATAATTACCTCAAAATAGAAAAGTTTCATGGTTTAGCAGGAGGTGTGGAGGTTAGGGGGCTGGATTCCACACAGCCAACTGTGTGGTTTGAGACGCAGACTTGGAAGCATGTAAATCAGGCTACTTAATGATCTCTCTCTCTGTCTCTCTCTCTGTCCCTTCCTGGTGAGTGCATACATGCTATAGCAAATACTAAACTAAACTAAATTAAAAATAAAAGTACTTTAAAAATTATGCAGATAAAACTGCATTTATGGCCAGACGTTTTTTCCTAAGGCCATCACACTGTCATGATGCTGGGAAGGCAATGGACTACAGAAAGCAGTGTCTTTGTCTTAGGCCAAGTCTCCCATGCTGGCCTTTGGTGTGGTGGGAAAGTCAAAGAACTAAATGGATCAATGGCAACCCGTGAAGAGAAAGGAGGTAATGACTATGGATTTTTATCTTAGCAGCGAATATAGAAGTCATGTTCTCTGTGCTTTTGTCACTGTGGACTCCATCTTCCTTTGGCTACCATCCTGCTCCAAACCAGCCACCTGCTGCAGGATCGTGCTGTAGTTCTTTGCTGTTGTTTTTGATTTTCCAATAAAAATTATTTAATCCTTGTCTCTGGTTAGTCGTTGTTCCCTCTCCCAAAGCTACACCAAACATGCTGCCTCGTTTCCATCCCATCTCTTTTCTAGTCGTCCTGACTTCCCTTCCTTCCCAGAATTTCTTAAGATCATTGACTCCACTGACGGAAGTCAGGCTTCTGACCGCCTAATAAATAAGTTCACCAGTGAAAAGCCTATTTTTCATTCTGTTTAATTACAGGCTTCAGAGACACTCAAAATGGAGGGTGTCTTAGGGACAAATAATACTGTAGGCTTGGTTTACTTTTTTCTTATTGGCATTGGCACCAAGCCCTTCCTCTGCTTTGAAATTCATGGCCAGAACAGTGGATGCATACTAAGTAGACTGCGGCCACCAGGCAGCCTGCTCAGCCTGTCCAGATGCAGCTCAGTAACCCACCCACCTCCGTGGCCAGTCCTGAGCAGTAGGTTATGTGACTAACACTGCTGGTTTGTTCCTAGAACCGTCATTGTATGTGACCCTAAAAGGATTCACATATACCATTTGGGCCTGGGTATGGTGAACTACACTGGGTCTTGAACTACAACATGCATGTTTGGAATTCTACACGACTGGCTTCGAAATTGGCCCTTAGAAATATATGCATGTGTAAAATGATGAGATATCATACAGATGTTGTAAACATAATCCTACAAGAAACTAACGGCGGAAAATAAATCTCCTTCCCACTCTCGTTTGGTTGTTTTCCATTTTCCTTTTACAGAGTCATCGCTGTTACCAGTTTCCTGCAGACATTCCATACATGCGTAGGCTGTAGGTTTCAGACATAGAAAAAGCACTATGGCCATGCATTCCTATTTTTTTTGCATAAAATGTAATATGAGGGACATGGGGTTGTACAGTTTGTTCCTTTGGATAATAATACAACTCCCAGAGACCTTTCCACAGCAGTACAGGTGATCGCTGTCAAATATTTTTTTCAGTTTGCTGTAAAGTGTATGCTTACCAAGACAGAGAGAGAGAGAGAGAGAGAGAGAGGGAGAGAGAGAGAGAGACCATCCCCCAGAGTCTTGCCACACTGCAATGCCTACTTCTCCATTCTCCTCTCAGGATTTTGGGCATGCCAGCACACATGCCCATCGTGTTCTCATGCCACTGGGTCTGAAACTATGACCGCACAGCACAGCTGGCCACACAGAATCCAGCCATCTTGACCTCCATCCCACTGGCTGTCCCCTCTTTCTACCTTTTTAGACAACTTTATGTTATTCTGTTAAATGGATATTTTTGTATTTAACCAGTCACAGTTTGATGGTCATTTGTTGTTTCCAATATTTGTCAATAACAACATTTTGGTGAACACTGTTGCATATTACTCTTTCAGAAGTATCTGTAAGAGGGACCAGCAGTTGGCGCAATGGCTATGTCACTGGACTCCCATGTAGTCGACCGCAGTTTGTGTCTCAGACCCAGTGGCTTAAAATTATGCTGGGCGCGTGTGCGTGCGTGCCCAAGATCCTGAGAGGAGAATGGAGGAGAAGGGATTGCGGCGTGGCCATCCCCCCTGGCGGGTGATTGCTTACTTTCTGTCTCTCTGTCTCTCTCTGTCTGGCGAGTGCACGCGCCCTATAGCA